TGAGTACCCCATGTCTGGTGCGTCTTTTCACTAGCGAGACGTAAAATTGTGGAGCGAACTAACGGCTGTTGTTCGCCAAGGTAAAATCTGTAGCCATATATAGCTCTTCACTCAAAGTGTCGCCACTGTATATATGGCAGCTAAAAACAAGCCGTCAATAGTTCAACCGCATGGAAAAAGTCAACTTTGTTCGTTTTCGAAGCTGACCTCTAAAATGGATGTGATTTGAACAGGTGTTTTCGAGTGAGGAATATTTGCTGTCACCACTCGTACAGTTTCTTACAGTTTCCACATGAGGAATTCGTCGGGTTGTGCCATCAGTAGACTTGGGAGTAAAACAGACAACGATGCGCCGTATCGACCAGACAACAGGGGTAAAATTAACTTTTAATACACCCAGTTTCCTTCACCAATTTCATAAAATTAAGAGGTATCATGACAGGTTGGATTAGATTCAACTATTTTGCATAACTCTTCAGCTGTTTATGTGAATTATATATCCCGGCTGGATCAGTGTTAGGGCCACAGATATTACTCAGCGCCGGCCTGACCAAAGTAAGGCGATCGAAGACACGAGTTTCATTTGTTTATTCACACTGAGTGTGTTATGAAGTTCTCAAGAACGACCGCTCTTTTGGCAACCTACAATTTTGGAAAACGGTCTTGGTTCTTCGTACTCGTATTGAATCAGTAAGAGGCATACGACTGCGTTGGTCGTGTTAAATTTTTCTAGGTAGCTCCTCGTTACTTACTAATTCCCTGTCAACGCAGTTGCCCAGTTGTAGCAGTGGCACTGGGCGCCGCAAAATCCACGACCAGTCCTGCCTTGCTTTTTTAAGACAGGGATTGAATCGTGCCTACTTCCGCAGTTTTTTCTACCCATCCTGATGTGGGATGTGATATTCTGTCAAAATATCATTTTGCACGTATTCAAACAGCTGATGAGATACACGAAATAGTTGGATCCACACTCTCCCTCCATATGATTCCCTTCTTACTTTCATGAAACTAAATTATCCAATGAAAGTTTAGGGTAGTTAGACTGGTAATCAGAGGAGATCTGTACTCACCTAGTGTGTGGAATGGGGGATTGGTACCATAGCACATTTGATCTGGTGGTTCAGGATGCATGTGGACATGACCTCAGCTGATGTGTGATTAATCACCACCTTCTGAAACATGAAGCGGCCTAGTGCAGCACATTCGGTTGCTTAGAGACGTCAAAAACGAGAGGTTTAGCTGGGTTCCAGGTGGGTCTCTCGCAAAACCAGATTTATTCGCAAATTTCATGCAATTTCGGTTCATAAGGTTGAGCTAAGAAGGGTGAAGTCGGTCGTGGACTGTTAAAGCGAATTTAGCAACCTTACGAGTGGTATAGTACATCCTCACCTTCATTTTATTGTACCAAGGAGCTATGAGAATTCTCAGAACTTTCAAAACCTGCATAGTTACGTCAAAAGCTCTTTCAAAATTATGCATCACTGAAATAAAGCCTGATGAGCTGGGAGTTTGATGACCTGGAGGCAGGTCAATTTGCGATGCAATAAAACGAACTTTCAGCAGTCAGGTTTGATCAGCTAAATTTCGCCAAACTGGTCGGTCGCCTCCATCTTTTCAAAGTTAATTTTTTTCGGCCGGTTTTCTCAATTCGGATTCAGATAGATGCTGATGTGTTCTGCCGACTTAACCCCATTATAGGTTGAAGGCTGGGAAGCTCAATTCGTTTGCGGACAAATGTCAGAGCAACCGAGTTGGAATTGTATACTGTAAATGAAAAGTGAGTAAAAATAACTCAGCTGCAAAACGGATGAAAAATCGATGGAACAGATCGATCAAAGACGAAACGAACATACCACTCGAATCGATAGGCTATGCGGATCTCCATGTGAAGACAGGCGTTTCTTAAGCAACTGTATGCATCCAGTTCCGTTTATGATTTGCATGAGAGGAAGAAGAAATATCACATTAAGTCATACTGGTTTCAGATATTTCGTATCAGCTCTTGTCAGCTCTTGACACACATTCAGATTCGGGGTTAGGATGGACTAGCAGATAAATAATTCGACAAACATTAAAAAACAGCGAGTATCAGACCCAGGATCAGGTTGGATTCACTGCCAGCCTGACCAAGGTTAATTACAGCCAGCTACAACTTCCAACGGTTCGTACAGACTGTTTTTGAGGCCGATTCATCAAGGTCTAAGAGATAGTTTTTCTTTTAACAGGCTTGTTTCATGGTACAGACGCAATACACTACTCATAAGGTTGCTGAAAATACTTCGACGGCCCAAGAACATCATAAACGAGAGATTCAGCTGGATTTCGTGTGGGTCTTACGTCAAAAACCGGTTGACATGCGAGTAAGTGCATTTTTTGAAACCTGTCTTGGTTCTTTGCATTGGCTGCATTCAAGAAGGCCAGGAGTGACTGAACTGAACGGAAGATTCGAGCCATTAGTTGCTAACATCCTTGAAACGTGCTGAGAATTCCTTTCGGAGGACCGTTTCTCTCATAAAGGAAACTACTCACAAGGTTGCTGAAAACTCTTCGACAGCCCACGACCGGTTTTGCCCTTTATGGGGCTCATCAGGTGGGCGCAGTCCCCGAGTTTCCGTCAACTTTATGTTCTAATTGAACCCAAATTAGACTGTTTTCGAGAAATACACACATTTGCAAATCAATTTGGTTTTCACGGGAGAAATGGAAAGCGTTCAGCTGTACCACCCTTCCGGTGCCTAGCTGCGATGCCACCCGAAGGAAGCACGAGGGCTGGGATACTGCCAGGTCGCCCAAGCCTAGGCAGGAGAAGTCGAGTGGCGGAGGTCGGATTCGAACCACGGACCTTCCGGTCAGTAAATTCGCGCCCTAACCACTTGGGCCATCTCACGGGAGACTCAACTGCATCTCACGTTTGTGATATTCCTTTATGAAAATATACTGCGATGTCTCGAATATCATGCCACCTGAATCATGATGCGGCCTGTGTGCAGCACATTCAGTTGTAGAATACCATAAACGAGAGATTCAGTTGAGTCTCTCGTGAAAACCAAATTGATTTGCAAATTTGTGTATATTTCGAAGATCGTTCCTCTCCTTTTAATCTACATATCTACTGCCGCAAAAATGCATTGAGTAAAGTATACTCGGGAGAAGGCAATCATAGGTTCTGGTTTACCTAGGTTGGGTTCTGTCAATATCAGTCATGTTTTTTGAACACTGTTGAATTCGTGGCACTGAAAGCGGTTGTGAGAGTTTGGCTCAATCGCCAACGCATGCGTTTAGCACTATGGTTCAGTTTGAATGATGAGAACTGTTTTTGAGGACATCCCTTCGTTTATATCAGTTCAGCAGTCATTTGGCAGTGATTGAATGAAGAGAAATGAGTGATAAGTGTAGTCAACAAGTCATCTGAGGGTGTAAAATTTGGTGACAGGTAATCCTAGCACTCTGCACTAAGCTCACTCTAGCGAAGTGCACTTATTTGCATACTTAGTTATGTTTCAAGGAGGAAATCCAACTGAATCTCTCGTTTACAATGTCCCGGTTCAACTGGATGTACTGGACCAGACCTCATGTTTCACTTGATACCTTTATCCCAATACATTGTAGGGACGGAATACACTACTTATAAGTTTTCTGACTGTGTCTAACAACGTTTATCAACCACTCAGCTTGAGACTTAAATGAGACGTTCAAAAGTCCACTTTTTGCGCACATTATGCAAAATAACAGAACTATGATTTGCGAGTAATTCATTTTTCAAAATGGATGTTGCCCTTATGAACTTTCCTGAACTAGAAAGCCAATATTCCACGTGTTCATTGGAGTTATTCATAAAGTCCCCAGCCTAACTATTTTGTAGTCAGATTTCGCGATATGCAGTGATCAATCTGTGATTTGCCCCGTCTTTGAACCTCCTATTCTGTTATTTTGAGTCCCATATTTGCTTGGTTTAAACTCCCTCCTTTGTACTTTGGGTTTCCCCAAAATGTTTGTTAAACGACAACCAACAGCATTCACTTTATTTGTCGGTTTCGACTTCAGAAGAACTAAGAGTGGTTTTCAGTAAGCCTTCGTCACACAGCTACTTTTGATGTCCTGATTAAAAACGCAGTCACGTGGGCTGTGAATTCGACGCACTGCAACATAACGACACCTGCTTACTGATCGAAGGCCGTTTTCAAAACGCCATGTACCGGGTTAGAATCTCCTTAAATCTTTGTGCGGCGCTCAATGTAGAGGAGTTCAAACGATGCGAAAAAGCAGTGGAATATTCTATGGATTTCCACCGAAGATTAGCTTCGTCAGTAGTATAGATTTCGGACTTCGTAACCGAAGGTAGTGTGGAATAATACAGAAGGAACCATGGGCCACGAATGGATTTCCGTACACATCTACAGCACTGAAGGATGGCCAATGAGAGTGCAGTGAAATGTACTATTCCGAAAATGCATTCCTTGGTGCCAAACAAGTATATCTATGGATATGAAGCGCAGATTTGCCTCTATTGGGCCACATAATATTCCCTCCTTCTTACCCACGCCGACAATAGCTTGCGTATCCTTATGCACGGACCCACCCCAAATGCGTCCTTGACACCCTGCGTTTTGTTGGTGAAAAAATTGTTCAGCTGTAGCACCCTTTCGGTGCCTAGCTGTGTTGCCGCCCGAAGGAAGCAAGAGGGTTGGGATACAACCAGGTTTAGCACCCTTTCGGTGCCTAGCTGTGTTGCCACCCGAAGGATGCAAGAGGGTTGGGATACAACCAGGTTGCCCAAGCCTGGACAGGAGAAGTTGAGGTGCACAGGTTGGTTTCGAATGACGGTCCTTGCGACCAGTAAATCCACTCTCTGAACATCGAGCCATCTCATGTGTTGGTGATACCAATCCATGGTGAAAAACCCATTACATTGGTGTCATTCACATTGGAGCTCATTAGTCGCGTACATCTCGTGGAGATCTAAGCAAATTCGAACCATCAAATGGAACGTCACGCGAAGTATGTTCAGCGCGGTAACTAGGTTGCACTTCGGATATACAACCGCCAGCTTCCAATCACGCAGTGTGTATCACGTGAGTTATTGTGAACTTGATTATTTACATATGCTATATAGCTATTGTATGGGCTAAGAATATCTTCTTACTGTATTATACCGTTTTATCTTATTCTTCATCAGGAAGGACCAGATAAGTACACAGAAACGGAACCGAAAGGTCACCTGGTGCTGTAGGAAAGATGTGGTCAGATTTTGACAAGTGCAGCCACACACGGGATTGTGTTCTCATCTGAAGATCGATTGGACACGTGGAAAAGTCATCAGCAGTCTCATTCTGGTCATCAAAAAACCACGCGCATAGAAATCTGGTTTGAACACCTTTGTTTAAGATAAATGACTAGGTCGATTTTAGTCGCGCGTCAATTAATCCGATGAGATTGCTGGATGATAATAGGTATTTCCGATGAGTGAGTGAAATTCCGGCGAACAATGCGAGAACAATGAGTTCAATTAAAAGTACGACAATCTATAGGGCTCTGAAGTAGACTGCTCCTCTATGTTGAATAAATTCATTGATTACCAGGAAGTATCCTTCATAGAGGCCACCAATCGAGAAATCCCAGAGACGTGTTCCTCCCTCGATGTCCCCACGAACAAATATCAACCTTAAAATTGGCCAGGAAATTAAGGTTGCTCTCTTCCAATTTAAAGTGTACTGATGTGAAAGGGAGAATGGCTTTACTCAGATGTCCCATATGAAGCACGTACTTTTGATCCAAAGAACCTTCCAACGCACACCGGGCATCTCAGAGCGAGGGGCGCAACCTAAACCAATCGCTTTAATTTCCTTGTCCAGTTTTGTCCACAAAAGCTTAATTTTAGGCACTTATTTTAGCTACCTGTATAAACGTTCCTGTCCGCTTGGTGGTACCTAGGCGACAGTTTCAAACTCTCTCTGACAAATACAAAATCAGGCATGCAACCAACATATATTATAGAGAGATGCCCTCCAAAGGGAACTCAGTATTTCGAGAAGCGTTGAGCCATATTTCTCATCTCTGTTGACAACACCTTAATCTACCTGAAGAGGTCACCAGTTCAGCCCAGAGGAGCAATTTCACAATTATTGAAAAGAACGTGATTTTCAGTTTCTGTGTTTAAACCGCAAAAAAACACGCCTTTAAGAGGAAGAATTATTCGAGCATTTGAAGATAAAAAAGAACCAGAATAGCTTTTATTTAGACTTATTTCGCTCCGCTAGCTTATCGGGGTTCACCTCGGGCACAAACCGTGGTGAGATGAGCAAACTGTGTGGAGAATAGGCGACAATAAGACCTAGGAATTGGCTGGAACTAAAGCGGAATCTGATCCACAATTGGTAAAAGCTTTTCGGGTAGTTTTTGTATAATATTGTAGAGTTTGGTTCCCATTTAGTAAGGATTACGAATTAAAGTAGTGCTTGTAATTCGATGAAGCTGCATACACCTGGAGACCCTGATGACAGTGCCTGGAAAGGATAGGTCAAAACAAATAATAAACCATTACTGACGCTGCTCAACCAACCCGGCCGGTCCAGCCGGGATCCATTCGAGTCCCCTGTTAGCACTAAGATAATTTGCAGATGAGTGTATTTGCGAATTAGAAGAACGTGAAGAACTCGGGGACTGCGTTAACTCGATGAGCTCCAAGAAGATCAAATACGGTAAATGTCGAAGAGTTTCTAGCAATTTTATCAGTACTGAGTAACTTCCCATTAGCTGTCAGTGGAGAACCAGATTTGATGGAATGGCGAATGAAGGTACAGACGCGCGTAAGACTTGACTGAATCATGGGGTTCAGTCAGAAGACATCACTTGGCTAATCGGTTCCCACTGAGATGGGGAAGCGAACCGATAAATGGACGGCAGCGGAATTGATCACAAGCGACTGTTCTCAAATGACCGGTGAATTCTTGCGCACGTGATCAGATAAGGCGCAATAACGAGGGTTGCTTTTGGACGAGATTTACGATATCGGCGTAGTGACCACTCCAATCGGTAGAAATGCTGCTGCACCGTTATTTACACTTGAGATGAAGCAAGACGGAAAAGCAGACGGACGAAGAGGTCACATAATTGACAAGAAGAGATGAGGCGGGCAGGACCAAGCTTACTGGTCCGGTTCACAAACAGCAATACAAATCTGGATTATTCGGCTGAACTGGGATACCACTACTCTCGAAAGCCATTTCCCAACAGATGTAGCGATCGGCATAGTTGGAAACCTCGGTGCTCACAGCCAGCGGTTGACAAATGCCTTTGGCATACATTAACTTGTCCAAATGTTTGCCACTTCGCGCAAACGGAAACCGAACTAAACACGCAAGAGACCCGATAAATGCAGTCCATACTTACAGGAAGTGCTTGCCAACACAAAAGATCACAGTAAAACTTCTCAGATCAAGTGTCATAACCGGATGAAAAAAATTCTCGAGGGTGTGGTTATCCTTAGACAACGCGTAAAGCACTACTGCTAGCAAAACAGAAGCTAAAATTTGTGGACGCCTAAAAGTTGCGGTTCTCTTAAGGACAAATTAGAAGAGCGTGAGTTTTCCTGCCTTTAAATTCATTTTCGTTCTCATTCCAGCATTTATAGATCAAATTTTGAGTGAAAGCACGTTTTTCATGGGGAAAATAGAAAAAAAGGTTTCCAGGTCCATTTTGAAAGGCATCTGAAATGTTCTGAGAAAACCAAGCGAATTTAGTAACATCTTTTTCAGCACAATTCATTGTGATTCTACTCATCTGTAAAATAATTTGGTTTTTCGAGAGACTCACCTGGAACCCAGCTGAATCTCCCGTTTGTGAGGTTTCAAGTAGAACATAAGGTTGACGGAAACTCGGGGACTTTGCCTACCTGATGAGCCCCAAGAAGGGCGAAACCGATCATGGGCTGTCGAAGAGTTTTCAGCAACGTTGGGAGTAGTTTCCTTTATGGTTTATTTGTCTTGTGGAAAACGAGTGACCCTCCACCTGTTTCGGATGCTTGAACTTGGAAGTGATTACAGCCGGAAAGTAACCGGACCGTGAACAAACACTTGACAATAAAACGATCCTTCATTCACTTCTAGGGATCAAAAGTGAGGACACGGACTGCGCGTTCGATCACATCGCAACACTAAAACACCGAAACAGTCCCTTCGGTCTGGCTCTGTTCTTCTGCTGGAAGTTTGGTTCTTTTGTTGTGAGATTTACATTCTTGCATTTCAAGCTTCGCACGTTCTGTATTCCTAATTTTTCTCTAGTCAGATGCCCAGTTTTGTTTACCTCACTAGATGAGTGCATGTCTGTGCGTGCGTGCAATGGCTGGTGCCCAGATGTTCTGATGTCAATGTATTCCCAGCGGAAAGATGATTGGTAGATTACATGGGCACCAGAAAGGCTGGATAAATGCATTTGAGTGAATCTAGAGAAGAGTCAAGTAGAACATACGGTTGACGGAAACTCGGGGACTTTGCCTACCTAATGAGCCCCAAGAAGGGCGAAACCGGTGGTGGGCTGCCGACAAATTTTCAGCAACGTTATGAGTAGTGCATTACAAATATATTCATTTTGATTCTGTTTTGAGTCATATTCGTCGTTGTAATTTTCGTCTGATCTTGGTAACAAACTGACATTTAACGCCGGTTCCTAGAGTGACTCCAGATACTCGCTTGTTGAGAAATAGGAAATCGATAAAGGAAACTACTCACAAGTTTGCTGAAAACTCTTCGATAGCCCACGACCGGTTTCGCCTTTTTGGGGGCTCATCAAATAAGAGCAGTCCTCGAGTTTCTGTCAACTTCATGTTCTACTTGAGCCCAAATTGGAATTCGTTATCTTCTTTTCAATATTCATATATTCCAGCTCCGTTCAACCACCAAAATACATGAAAAACGAGCTGTTTGTGGATACAACTCATCTGCACAAGGAACGATCCATTCCGAAACCCAGTGCAAATGATTTTGATAAGCTTGAGTATTCGTGATTGTCCACATTGTCGTACGAAGTTAGGAACCTAATACGAAATACGATTGGCCCAGTCCACTAAATAATATTTTCGATCGTTCGTTTCTTCGCTAGTGAGGAAAAGTAGTGGAACAGGTGTGCTACTCAAGCTTCTCTCACCGAAGCCTTACGGACTGTCAAATTACACTTCACAATCTTGTCTAAGCCGATCTTTGGAAATGTTAGAATTGCCTAATTGTGATACGAAAAATGAATTGTTTTTCCATTGCACTAGTCAACGGGTTGACGCGAAACTGATCAGAGCCTCCTAACTCTGATAAACTGGGAACCGCTGTTCAGAATTTGTTCATATATTTTACTTTTTACTTGATAATTAGTTTGGTATATTTATGACGTAACTGCCTCAACCACACCGTTTTTCTCGCACAGTCAAATCATAGTGATAAAATCTAGTGAGGATTCTCTAGGGAGAAAAGCTTTCAGTGGAATCAATCGACCAAAGCTACAACACCCACTTGGTTTGAGATTTGAACATCATTTCTGCATTACTCATAAGGTTGCTGATGAATTTTCAGCGACTTTATGAGTAGTGCATTACGAATGTACGTGTATCGCGACATATCGGATATCGTAGCGACTGAAACATGAGGTGGCCTGGTGCTGCACATTCAGTTGCCTGATAATATCACTAACGAGAGATCAGTTGGGTTCCAGGTGAGTCTGTTGCAAAACCAAATTAGGTTGCAAATGGATGTACTTCGCTAATCATACATTTCTTATCAGCCACCTTGGGTAAAAACTCGGAGATATCACAAAGGTAGGCTTGTCATAAGCAACAAAGTAATCGTTTGCAAATTACTGAGAACCTAGCGTAGAAATATATTTCAGCGGTATTTCCATGGTCAAACAAACTTAAGATCTGGAGACTAGAATCGATATTTTTTTCCGAATACGTTGTTCCTACGTCAACCTCGGTATGGATCTACCAAGGTTGTAAGAATGCCAAACATAGAAGTTACGCTCCGGTGTAGCGTGCCACAGTGACCTAAATGTCTGGCGAGGAAACAGAGACCTCATCTTTCTAGAATAGTTGACAGAGCGTAAGTAAATCTTCTGGACAAATGGAATAAACCGGAAATACATCATCGATGGTAGACATGCGTCTACTTTGGAGGAAAGAAAATGCAAACTGTGTTTTAGGATAACTATTTGTCTGCATCGAAATTCAAACACAAGCGCTTCAGAACTAACGACGATACTGGATGTCAACACGTCTGGTGAGGTGATATACAGCAAGTCATTCTAGTGCGACCTGACAGGATAATCATCGGAGGTCCCTCTAGACTTCTGTCATAACGATTTTTCACCCTCGCGAGTTCTCTTTTTCTAGCAGTGAAAAGAAGAAGGCCTTCGTAGCGGAGTTATTTATCAGAAAACGCCAACTGAACAGGTACAGACTATTGAACAGGGAAGCAAAACTCTCATATGCATCCTGTTTACAAAACTGAATATCCATCTTCGCCTTGAACGCCTCTTCCTGAACTTTCCTGGATATTCACTTACTGTTTCTCAAATGCAACCAAATGCGAATCCACAAATTCCGTAGTAGATCGTACTTTTCAAGAGACGCGAAGCGGATTTACAAGAGAATATACCACTCACATGCCCCCATCAGTAGTATCCACCGTTGCAGCCGTAGCCTATTCATTTGGGATGCTACTTTCAGAAAATATCCGATACCTGCTGACGAACTGTCTCAGAGAGAACATTCTGAATGACACAGTTGATTCTGTGATCTGGTTAATTGTCATGCGTTGGATACATAAATGTTTTTTTAAACTTGCAGTTACCAGAGTCGATGCATTCCGAATGGTGTGTTCCAAAAATTTCAAAAAGCTATTGGAACCATTTCGGACAGCCGGAGAAACAGGTCACTTGCTCAGTATATATTTAGCTGGTATTCGATAGGGATTTACCGGGCCACTGGAGACCTTCATTTGCATGGTTTTATGTGAAACCCAATTCGGCGCTTCGTGCAAGCCCTTCATGCAGGTGTATACCTGATGGAACAAAACTGACGGACAGGCGTGGACTCCCTGTAAGGGCATGTCTGGCGGTCATGACATGATGGCATAACGACGCATCCAACCGACAGATCATCAAAGTAATACCACATTTTTCCATTACTTTATATCCACTTTCACGTACACCACCCATAGACGCACAGTTGAGGTCGTGTCCACATTGCTGCTGAAACTGACATCCGTAGGACCTTTTTCCCAGATGAACAGCAAACAAATATCGGAGCCATCATGCAGTATTTTCTCCCTGAACTGCTTGGGATGCCGTTAAGAGTTCCTCATCAACAATTTAATCCGTGTATCTCTTCGTAATGAGGGAGTCCCAATCATAGGTGGACATCAGATTCAGGTTCAATATGACTCTAGATTGTCAGTCATTTAGACAGTATTAGATAATACGCAAGTGGTTTCAGTTTCGACCGCCAAGCTAGCGAAGAAAGCAGATATTATGGTCAAACATTTATAAACGATGCGTACCTAACGGAATATAGCCTTATAGTCACACGATTGTATGTATAACTGCATATATATATATCGTCGATTGCTGAGAAATGTAGCTTAAGTCTGCTCACTGCCCGTCGAGTGATTTTCATTTGCGTTTTGTCGATCAGGTTTAGGTTGAAACGTTAATGTTGAACGATGCTCAAATCCTCGATGTACTGTCCCATCTTTAAAGAGGCGTAGTGAACTGCACACATCAGTGCTAGTTGAGAGTGAACAAGGTCATATGTTTGCCTCATATTCCTGTGAGGTGGTAAACGTGCTCATCAGACGACAAGAGTTGGATATAACTTTCTGATAAATAAATAAATAAATAAATAAATAAATAAATAAATAAATAAATAAATAAATAAATAAATAAATAAATAAATAAATAAATAAATAAATAAATAAATAAATAAATAAATAAATAAATAAATAAATAAATAAATAAATAAATAAATAAATAAATAAATAAATAAATAAATAAATAAATAAATAAATAAATAAATAAATAAATAAATAAATAAATAAATAAATAAATAAATAAATAAATAAATAAATAAATAAATAAATAAATAAATAAATAAATAAATAAATAAATAAATAAATAAATAAATAAATAAATAAATAAATAAATAAATAAATAAATAAATAAATAAATAAATAAATAAATAAATAAATAAATAAATAAATAAATAAATAAATAAATAAATAAATAAATAAATAAATAAATAAATAAATAAATAAATAAATAAATAAATAAATAAATAAATAAATAAATAAATAAATAAATAAATAAATAAATAAATAAATAAATAAATAAATAAATAAATAAATAAATAAATAAATAAATAAATAAATAAATAAATAAATAAATAAATAAATAAATAAATAAATAAATAAATAATAAAACCCGATAAACATCGAGGAATAAATCTAAAATGGTGGAGATGATCCTATGCAAGACCAACATCTGGCTTTCATAAGCAACCTAAAAGTAAGTGACGAGTGCATCGAAATTACGGCGAACTCGAGTTAAGCTGTGCGGCGCGCATAACCGGGGTGTGTAGCATGAGTGAATTACAAAGGATGATATGCGCCCTGTGGACAAGTGGGGCCTATGTTAAAAAGAAAAACAGCCGAGTTATAAATCTTATCATCTGAAATACTGAATGAAATTGCGCGATATTGGTGACTTAGAATGACTTGGGTATGTAGGAGAGAGTGATTAATCGACAGTAAAGCGGGAATTTGTGTCGAGCACGCAGTGTTGACTCTGCGAGGATTTTGTGTGTGGCCTTTGCAGACGGGGAAATTCAGTTGAAAAGCGTTAAATTAGAGTAGGAGTGACAACGGCAGTTTTTGCGCCTTATGATCACAGCTGATAGGTAATGTGGCAATATTTTCCAATATAAGACACCATGTTAAATTTTCATGAATTGGTCTGCTTACTGCCTAGAAATGCATTTGATCGAGATCTTTGGATAACTGTTGATAATACTTCATTAACAGGCGTTAGCGTCTTTCTTACAGTGAATAAAATGAGGCCATTCACCTTTCATAAGGCATATAAATTTTAGGCTTGTATTACTCATGGCTTTCTGCGAATGAGGGATGAGAAATCGTTTCAGGTAAACAATCGGTAGTTTTTATTTGGGCAACGTTTCGCTTCTGACACAAAGGTTTCATCAGGCCAAATGAGCAGGTCACCAAATTGACCGGGTCATAAGGCAGACGGTGAATCAATCAGTAAGTCAGTCCTCTTCAGATTATCACACTAGATCGGTGTTGAGTGTCAGTTAACGGTTCTTGTGGGTTAGTGAAGTTGTTATAATCTTGCTTTGGTGGACTGGGGGTCAAATTAATTCTGATCGGGTTTGGTTCGTTAATCTTCCGCTTCAGGGTGCTTCAGCTGATGATTCACCTCGGTTGCCACTGATAGATTTTCCCTGGTCTTTGTGGGGTCGTCAGTGCTCCGACAATTTAGTTTGAGGGGGGTTGAGGTTAAGTATAATTCAGATGATGACTACTCTTCCTTCTGATGGCCGCACAGCAACACGTATAAGCTCGCACACTAGCCTGTTCCACACCTGTTCTGTCAACGCTTGTATGCTTGATGATTTCTACCGTCTCGGCGATCAGTCAGTGTGACGTGGACTGTGGTCCTCGCCTTAAAACCTCAACATTTTCTAAATCTATTCTGTGTCCAGTGCGTGTTCCGCAATAGCCGAATAACGCTTGATATTCATCTCCGTTTCTCATCGGCCTGTTTATTTTTCTACTATGCTCTCCTGAGAAAATTCAGAAATACCTTGGACGCGTTAATAGGCCGTTATCTTGAACAGTCGACAGTTGCTCTG